ACGCTCTTTGAATGACGGCCATTGGATAAACACTCCGTGAGTGATTTCAGCTGGATTGTGCTCCGGTCCCCAGTTCTGCCTAACTCCATGGAAGTGAGTGGGTCCCGTTCCGTGCACAGGTCCTGTGTTGACATGAGGTACAGAACAGGACGAGACAGTCCGTGGCTGCGAGGAGCCCACATTATAGGGGGCAGTGTGACAGGGAGGCACCTGGCCGGTGGCCGTCACGTCCACTTGGGCAAGGCCAGCAAAGCCCCCTTCCTACAGACGAGCCCCCAGCTTCTTCCTCTGGGAAAGCCAAATTCTTCAGGAGGAATTTCTCTGAGGTCTCGTGTTTTATTTTGAATCCTGTATCCAATCTGTGTTCTACTCTACATCATATCTGTGTTTGCATATAAAAACGTACTATTTATGCCTCCAATATTTGGGGGAGACTGCCTCGTGTCTCTAGGGAGTCCAAATCCCAGCTCCCCCATTTACCGCTGGGTGACTCTGGACAAGCTGCTTAACCTCTCTGGACATCGTCATCGTAAGTCAGGGTGACAGCAGTATCTACCCCACAGGAGACGAGACCAAAGCGACGTCTCTCGAGGTGGTGGCACCCAGGGGCCCACTGCTCATGGCGCGTGTAAACGGTGGCGGCGGTGTCCCGTGCGCCCGCTGCAACGCGCACCTTTGAGACGCCCGGTGATGTAGAGAAAGCCGTGGGCGTCCAGGCGGCCGATGTCACCGGTGTGCAGCCAGCCGTCAGCGTCGATGGCCTCACGCGTCTTGTCCTCCTTGTTCAGGTAACCCATGAAGATGTCACGGCCCCACAGGCAGATCTTGCCGGTGCCATCTGCGTCCTGGTTCGTCAGCTTTACCTGGCAGCCGGGCACTCACTTGCCAGAGCTGGGGGGAGGGGGCCCGAGGAATGGTTGGAGGGAGCTGGTTCCTCCAAGCCCCCGCGCAGCGCCCACCAGGAGACCTGGGGTCTCTAACCTCTCTGTCTTCACCAATGGGCAGAAGGTGTTCCCTCCCAGGAATTTGGTATTTTAACAGGGACCTAGTGCTCAATTCAGGGCCCATGAAAGGTTCTAGGGTGAAGGAACGAATGAATGAATGAAATCCTAATGAATGAAAACTCGAAGCACTGGGATAGGCGGGCAGAGACAGGAGGTACTGATTCTGCGACTCGCCCCCTCGACTGACCGGCCTCCCTGCCCCCCGCAGGGCTGGCTCTGGCCCCCAACTCCCACCCCAAGTGGAGTCTGAGCCATCGGCAATGCTGGGACGCCCTCTAACACACCTCCATCCTGGATGGGGACAAAGGGAGACTCTCCAACAGAACTCTGTCCAGGGGTCCCGGGGCCGTTATGCTGCCTTCAACCACAGACTCGGGTGACGCCGGCAGAGACGGCCTCCATGAGACTGAGGCCTGGCCGGGGAACTAGGCCCAAGACGGAACTGCTGGCATTCGGGGACCCATTCAGCAGGTGGGCACCAAGGGGCACGGGCAAGGGTGGGGCCATACCTGTACAGCCGGTAGTTGTTGGGGCTGGATACGAAGTGGGAGCCCGAGGCCTCGCTGAGGCCGTAGCCTGAGTACAAGCGGAGGTTGAGGCCCAGGAAGACGCGCTCAGCCTCCACAGTCATGGGGGCAGCTCCACAGAAGCACAACTGGCACCTGGCAAAGCCCAGCGCCTGGCGGACCTTGGCCAGCACCAGGTAATCCACCAGCCTGGCTTTGACGGGCTTCCGGTCACTGGCGGGAGAGGAAGAATGGGCTACAGAAGGACAAGGACACGCGCGTACCACACTCGCGCGAAAGGGTGGGCGCGCACTGGCCTGGCCAGTTATCTGTTCCGACTGGTTGGTGCCAATGCTGGACCCATTTCTAAATCTTTTGAAAACTGGTGCCGGCTATGAACGTGCACGTGCACACGGTGTGCGTGCGTGTAGTTGTGTGCAAACACGTCCCGAGCCAGGAAGTGAGACCAGCAGATTCGGCTATATACAGACACGCAGGCGACAACACAGATGCACGCAAGTTTGCACACACAGTAATACACACGTGCAGAAACTTGAAACACATGTGCATGCACACACATGGACACACGTGAGGCCGTGTGGAGCCCGTGACTGGGTCAGCCATATCCGTTCACTTTTCAGGTCCGTGCCAGAGAAGTGTGGGTGCAGACACGTGTACACGGCTCAGGAGGCACGATGCGGTTTCAGACACGAGTTGTGGAAAATAATTCCAAATCGGAACAGGCCAGATTTATGTCACTCCCACGGCACTGTGTGGGAGTTTAAAAGGCAACCAAGGCCGCCAGAGATGCACGTGGCCACTCGGGAAAGGCTGGGAAAGCCACATCTCTGGGGCCCCTTCTCAGCCACCCAACACTGAGGTCAGGAGCCGCTACGTGGTGATGAATGCCCCTTGGAGGGAGCAAGTCAGTCCTTAGTTAGAGCCCAAGGACGGTGACTCCTGTGGGGGCTGGGAAGAGGCCCGGGTCTCAAGCGCAGCCATCGTTGGGGCCTCTGCACAGGGTCCTCAGAGCTGACAGGCCGGTCGGGCTGGGACAAGTTGGCCTAGTGGATCCCCGGTTATGTACTGGGGTTGGGACCCAGCCCTGCTGCTTCCCCAGGCCTCCCGCCCTCCGCACCTGCCCAGGCAGGTGAGGTTCTGCTCCAGCATCACCGACATGGCCCACAGCAGCATCCTGCGCCGGATGAAGCCCAACCTGGCCATCACCTCCTGGATGCGCTCCATGATCTTCTCCCACATCCGAGGCACCGCGAGGTATATCGTAGGCTCCACCTCCCGCAGCGTGTCCACAATGCTCCCCTGCTCACCGCCAGAGAGACACATGCCTGCTGGTCCAGGGCCAGCCAGGGGCCGGCGGCCCTGTCACCAGTCAGCGCGCACACGACGCGGCATCCTGCACACAGGTGCGCGGACGGAAGCACACGCACCTCGGCACACACTGTCGGCTGCGACCCAACAGCCATCTGCTCTCTGCTTCTCTGCCCACAGAACCCTGACGCCATTCAGATGCTTCAGAAGCACCTCAGTCCCCAGTCCCGGGTGGTGACCCCTCCTCGGTCTAACTTAACCGTGATATCCTGTCCCCCTGAGCAGTGACTGGCTTAGGAGTGAACATGTGACCCCACTTGGGCCACTGAGAGGCCACGTGGGGGAAAGTGGGCTGTGGGGGAGCATCTGGAAAGTTCTAGTTAGAATAAGAGCCCAAAGAACAGGCGTAGTTGATGAGAGGGGTCGGAGGGCGGGGTGGCGGCCAGCTGTGGCGTTACTTCGAGGATGCCCATCCTCGATGGCAGTGGCCCCGGGACACTATGCTGCCTTGACTTTCCTCTAGGCATCGTCGTCAGCTTCCCTTCCTGTCCAGCCACTAAGGCTGTGCCGGCTGCAGCAGGAAGGGTTCTGACACCGGCACCCCCCAGGAGCGCCTGCAGGGCCCCGAGCACACGCGTGCACGCGCAGCGGCCCGGCTCCCAGACGCGGCACGCGCACGGGCAGAGCGCAGACTGACCTTCAGGGCGTTGGGTTCAGCAAAGCAGATCTTCATCCCCCAGTACATGCCTGTCCACAGGTCGTACATCTGGGCGGTGATGTGGCTGAGGGGCAGGTAGCTGACCGTCGCTTCCCGTTTGGCTTGTGAATGAAAGGCGCTGCTGCTCTGGATGCCGTACCGTGCCATCCACGTGATCTGGGGAGGGGAGAGCCAGGGGGAGGAGCACCCCTCACTGTTCAGGCCAGCTCACGTCTGTGGCTGCCCAGGGGCTTGGCTATGTCTTTGGGGGACCCCCAGGGTGTTCACTTTCCTAGGAAGCTCCCAGGGACAGTCCTCTGCTACCCGTGCTGGGCTGTCTGGACCACAGACCGAGGGCATGTCCAACCCGTGCCAGCTCCCTCGGCGGAGGGGCGGAGGAGTGTCCCCAGGGGCTGCCGGCCCCGGCCCACCCACAGTCCACTGCACCCACACCTGGGCACCGGCCCTACATTGTCCTGACTCAGCATCACGCCCTTCGGCGGTCCGGTGGTCCCAGACGTGTAGATCAGCACACAGCACTGGTTGGGCCGCTGCATGTCGATGACGGTGTCCAGGTCTTCCTCAGGCACCTGGGCCCCCAGCTCCAGGACTTCTTCCATCTGGGGCCAGCGGAAGAGAGCGAGCCGTGCAGGTCAGCCGGGCGGGCCAGGAAGGCCTGGCAGACGCCCCGGGCCCCGTGTCCATACCGTGTACATGTTGGCCATCTTCTCTGGAGGAGATTCTCGATAAATCACCACTGCCTTCAGGTGGGGCAGGGTTTTCCATATCTGTGTCAACAGGAAAAATAAACGGGGTTCATTCCAAAAAAAACAAAAAACAAACAAAAAAAACGGTCACCCGAGAAGAGTCCCATCTCTAGGTGTCCCTCTGCCAACAGGCACTTTGTGGCAAGGTTGCTGGCACCCCGGAGCTGACTTTTGACCCAGCAGGACATTAGCCTTCGTGCACGGCTTTCTCATGAGGACTTTGGAGCAGTAAAGAGGGACAAGTGGGGGTCAGGTAATGGCTCTCTGTTAGAGGACGATGAGGCGACTGGGGTCCGGCCCAACACCGACTCAGCCTGCGGGTGTGTGGGGGCAAACGGAACTCCGCGGTCCCACCGATTCGGGAGGACAGATCAGAGTTCAGGAAAGCCGAGGTGGCCGAAATCTGTGGGACAGACGCTGGGGAGGGGAGAACCAGGGGGAGGAGCACCCCAGAACTCTCTTTAGGGAACCTCTTCGGTCTTTGGCTGAAGAGCAAGCTGCACAAGCACGGGGCGAAGCTCGGGAAGTGCAAAGAAGGGCGACCACGGAGCCAGTGACGGACCAGGGCTCCTGCTCTGACACAGCGCAGCTGGGCCGTGCCAGGCATCGGGCAGAGACCCCGAGGGTCAGGTCTCAGTGGGGGAGCTAAATTAGCCTTAGAGTGAAGGCTGTCAAAACCTGCCCCCAAATGCATCCAACACGAGGAGAAGGCGTCTCACCCTCTGGCACCCACAGTGTCTCTCTTTATTGTCGCCCACACGCTGCCTGTGGCACCGTCTCTCGAGTGTCTTAATTCAGAACAAAGCCCCAGCTTTTGATCCTCCAGCCACAGACCCGTGTGGTCCCCACCGGCAGCATCGGTGTCCCCAGGGAGTCTGTTAGAAAAGCAGACCCTCGGGCCCCAGACACGGGGCACCGGAAAGGAAGTGTGGGCTCCCTGGTGAAAAAGCTTCAAACTGAAGTTCAGAGAGAAAAAAAAAAAACCAGAAGAACAGTGACATGTGGGATAATGCCAACAAGCCTATCGGACATGTAATTTTCGCTTAATTAAATTTCCCCAGAAATTTTTGTTTAATTGAAAAAAAAAAATGAGAAATTTCCAAATTTGATTATAACTATAAATCTACCAGTCAAAACTCCTGATGAATCCCGAGCAGGGTAATCTCAGGGAAAACCACACCAAGACACAACAACATGATCAAATTGCTGGAAACCAGTGAAAAGAAAAAAAAATCTTAGGAGCTGTCAGAGAAACGAGGTAGACCACACGGAGAGGAAGAAAGATAAGAAACCAGACTCGTCAGAAACTAGGTAAAGGCTCGACCGTGGCGTGGAAGCTTTAAAGTGCTGAAAGAAAAATCAGAAATCTTGGCAACCCAGAATTTGAAACCAAAAGAGAGTATCTTGCGAAAAACGAAGGCACAAATAAACACGTTTTCAGACAAAGAGAAGCTGAGGGAACGTGTCGCCATCCGGCCTGCGCCGTAAGAAACGAGCCTGAAGAAAATTCTTAAGGCAGGAGGAAGAACCATACGAGAACTTGGACCCACATCAAAGAACCGAGAATGCCAGAAATGACAAATACGTGGCTCGGTGTCAAAGACACCCCCACCCCCGCCTTTAAACGATATTCGACCTTTGAAAAAACAACGCGTTTAGGATTTATAACCTATAACACTACGGGTTATAACGGTAAAACGGATGACAGAGGATGGGAGGAGGAGGCCGAAGGGTTCCGGCCCGAGACTCCTCGGTCACGTGTAAAGCAGTGTAACGTCAGAACGTGACCCGGGAGTAGACCGTGGTAAGTGAGAAATGCGCACTGGAAACCCGGGAGCGAACGCGAAAGGGGCTGCTCCTTAGCGGGGGGAGAGAGAATGGGGCACCAAACGCCCACTGCGGACGGAGTCAGGAAAGAGGAGGGAAGCGTCGGAGAACAGATGGGACAAAGAGGACACAGCCAGCTGGCAGATTTCTAGTCAATTCTGCCGGGCCGGATGAAACAGCGAGGCCCAAGGACACGCCGCCTACAAGCAACTTGCTTTAAGGACCCGGGTAGGTTAAAAGTAAAACGATGCAAAGATGTGTCCCCCGCAACCATGAATCCCGGGAGATCTGCAGGCGCTGTGTTACCTTGAGACAAAGTCGCTCCGGAACGAGAACCACTACCAGAGCTACAGAGGGACGCTGACGACAAAGGGGTCCATTCCTCAAGAGGACGGAATCTAAGGGTGAGTGTGCATGACGGACTTCACAATACAGGAGGCGAAACCCGAAACCCGACAGAACAGAGAGGAGGAACAGGGAAGTCCGCGACGGGGACGGGAGATGCCGGGAACGCCCCCTCTCAGTGTCTGACAGGACCGGGAGACAGAAAACCAACAGGGATGCGGGGGGCTCAAAGGACAGTATGACGCTCTCGGCCAACCCGACACGAACATCAGAGGACACCGCGCCCCCAACTGCCGGACGCACGTTCTTACGGATACGCGTGGCACACTCGCCAGGACACGGGCGGACCCCGGAGACATGGGGATTCCGGTCCCGACCAGCGCGGCAAAGCGAGTCGCCACCTTTTTGCTGGCGGAGGTCCCGCCTTCAACTTGCCAAAAACGTGACGTCGGTGAGGCGTAATACAGCGAAAACGAGGCGTGCCTGGGGACCGTTATTCTGACTACCACACCTGCTCTGTAGCAAACCGTGCTTCAGGTAGCAGAGAGCCCCAGGTGCTGCTGATGATCGGAGAAGCAACACTTTGCAGCTGCTCACAATTAATTAAGTCCGGCAAAGGGTCGTCAGTGGGGAAGGGCCGATGGGGGACGTCACGGTGCATGAGCACGCGGCCACCTAAACCCATTGATGAGTTTCAGCATGATGAGTACAGGTGGCCCCCCTGACAGCATTATGCCAGGGAGATGCAATAGCAAGTCAACAGCGCCACCTACAGGGTGTCCTTGCTCCCCACTTGATCTTTTACCCCCAAAACGTTTCATTTGAAATATGTGAAGCTGCTGACAACAGGAAGTGCAGAGGTTGGAGGAACAGGCTGGACCACAGCAGCGAGAGGAAGCCGGCAGATAAACCCCGGGTGTGGGAGGCTGTTCAGGAGGCCGAACCTAGTTTCTGGAGGTTCTCACACTCGAGCCTGTGTCACAATCACCGGCGGGCGGGGGGAGCATGTTAAATGCGTGGGGGCCCACACTTCCTTTCCGGTGCCCCGTGTCTGGGGCCCGAGGGTCTGCTTTTCTAACAGACTCCCTGGGGACACCAATGCTGCCGGTGGGGACCACACGGGTCTGTGGCTGGAGGATCAAAAGCTGGGGCTTTGTTCTGAATTAAGACACTCGAGAGACGGTGCCACAGGCAGCGTGTGGGCGACAATAAAGAGAGACACTGTGGGTGCCAGAGGGTGAGACGCCTTCTCCTCGTGTTGGATGCGACCAAGTCACTGTGATCATTTAAGGAAAAATGTCCTGTTTTTTCAAGGCGCATATCGCAATTTTCCAGGGATGGAAATGGTGATGTCAGACAGTTGCCTTCAAATACTTCAGCAAAATGATGACGCGACGAATGAGCGTGATGAAAAATCATGGGCGATCATTAAACCTGGGCGATCGCTGTATCGCGGTCCATTCTGTCTCTATTTTCGTTTGTTCGGAAACTTTCATAACACAAATTTAATTAGCGTAATTACCTAGCGTGGACATTTCCTAACTCTGGGCCTCGGTTTCTTCAGTTGCCAGTTGGCGGGGGGAATGGGGTGGCATTCCTTGTAAAATTCTTAATCTTTTAGCAGGAAATGAAATGGGACATCTCTCGCAGAGTTAATCTTTTCAGTAAACTTAGTTAACTGTTCTTCCCTTCTTTCTTTGGAAAAAAGGCCCTCTTCCTCAAATCCTGATAATTGCCCCAAACTGGTGACTCAGATCCTCTGGCTCTTGATAAAAGTCATCAGCCCATTGTTAGCAGAAATGGTGTTAAGTCAGACGGGGCCCTTAGAGTCCCAGGGGAGGGGAGGGAACTTTAGGCCAAAGGTCTTTTTCACTCTTTAAGAAATATATTAACCGACTGTTTCCCTTTACTCACTAAATAGGAAAATCGATAATAGAAACTAATAGATATATGATTTACATAACCAGTTTGTATCTTTTCTTTG